GAGGAGGAGAGAGGGACATCCAGGAAAGGAAGAGACTGGAGAGGAGAGAAGAAGAAATGAGAAGAAAATAGGGCAGAGGTGAGGAGAAAAGAATAAAAGTAGAGGGAGGAAAGAGAGAGGAGAGGAAAATTGATAAGACTGAGGAGAAAGGTGAGGACACAGGAGAGGAGAATAAAGAGATGTGGAGCAACAAAATCAAAAGTGGAAATTAAATAGAGGGTTATAGAGGAGAAGTCAACAAAAAGGGAGGTGAGAGGAGAGGTGAATGAAACAGAGAGGGAAAGAGAGAGAGGAGCAGACTTGTGTTGGAGTGCATTGCGTGAGGCAGCAGATCTGCACATCTCACTGTGCCACCGCCGCCGTTGCTGCTGCTGCTGCTGCTGTTGGAGTAACAAACTGCATCTTCTCCCTCCTTTAATGACTTCCGCAGCATTACGTGTCTCTAAAGCATTCAGGCGTTTTTTTGAGGTGGTTTATTTTGGACCGTGTCTCAAGGCGCAAAAATGAAGTTGTTCCACTGCTGCAACATGCGCCTCACTCTCCTCCTCACAGGCTTCACCCTGCCTGCTCGATACAAGGCGAGTTAATCATTCATCTCCCGCATTCATTATCCATTATTGTAGCTCTCACATTCAAGACAGTGAGGCTCAGTTTAAAAAAAAAAAAAGCCTTAATCTTTTCCTGCAATTTTGACAAATCCACTGACCTTCACTGACTCCCCCGCCCCCCCCACATCTGCAACAAGATACACTTCAGCACCATGTGTTGTGTACACGATTTGAATGTATCTAATGTCTTACATGGGAATCCAATATTCTATATCCTTTGTATCTGGTTTGAATAAAGTAATGTGGACTGAGGACTGTATGTACACTCTCTACTCTCCTCTGAGTTCTTGGCATCCCTCATATCCCAGTGATTTGATGAGTGCTGACAGATGGAGGCTCTTTCATTCAAACACTGCCCTCTTGAGGAAGAATAAACAAGTCTTGTGGAGGGGGAAAAGATGGGATTAAGGTTCATTAGCATCACACTGGTCTTTTTTTAATGTCCAGCTCTTTTGGTGGGCATGCAGAGGCAAGAGAGGGATAGTTTGAAAGGTTTAAAAAGGAGGAGAATCTCTTAAATCTCAGTCAATATCACTGCTTTGACACATCTTGTACCCATTCATTTGAGGCACAGAGCAGCTTCTATAATAACACATGCACTCCTCACGGTCCATCTGCTTTTATACAAGCCTTAAATCAGGAGTTTTTAGAGCTGTGGTCAACTGGTCCTCCGTCACGACTAAACACTAAATTAAAATAATGATATTGTAAAATGAGGCTTAAAAAACGTCAGTCAGGAAACAACATCCCTCTTTTATTCTGAGGGACCAGTAACAACAGAGCCTTTCATCATATGTGTCAGTCTCATTAAGCCAAACGACAATCTGTAAGAGTGTGAAGTTGCTTTATCCTTTTTGAAGTCCTAACACAATTATAATATGCATTCTCAATATTCTTGTGTAAATGTTGCCTAATCTAGAAATTTGGTTATTTTACAGTTGTTACCAGCAGCCAAGTTAGTTTGTTGCCAGGCATTCTTGTTACAAATAAAATAAAAACAATTCTGGGACATACTTTATATGGTTTTGGCTACAAATCTATAATATTAATGGGTTTGTTTTTGGGCAGCAAAACAAGCTAAAAACAACACTGACATATTGACACCCTACAAAGTAGTTGAGGCTAACGTGTTAGCAGATAGTTGCCTATTTACACTCAGATCAACATTAGCATTCATTTGAAGTCATGTTTTTGACCACATGATGAATTTAATGTTCACTCTCTTTTTAGGTCTGTTTCGGGTGAAATATCTGTCTGTTAGCTGCTAAATGCTCCACTATGTTCACTAGCCACTAGTTAACTGCCTGTCTGCCGTCTGCCGGTGCTGAGCAAGTAGTGTACAATGCACTTATCAGAACAAGAAAACACCTAAATATAGTTATATTACATAGTAATTTATGTTTTAAGGTGCATTTTTTGAAAAGGGGATGTTTATTAAAATGAACTTCAGGTGGTCACTAGAGGTAGGTAGGTACAAAGGATTGGAGTTTATAGAGGAGGCTCCAAATCAAGTGTGACGTACAAGAGGGGAAGTTGGATGTTCAGTAATTATTCTTTGCAACGAGGATAAACTGATGGGAACTGCTCATTGTTCTGGCAGGCCAAGTATTCCGAAAAATGTCCCATTGGACTGAAAACCGATTTGTCCAACAGCCCGTTATTTCAACAACAAAAGCCCACTGCTCCGAAGGGCCTGTTGTTCCGAAAATACACACTCTCTGGAGTTTTTGCCCCTAATATCTACGCAATCTATACTTCAGGTAACCTTTGTAATCATTGTAGCAATATTCAGGTGACCTTCATTGTAATGGTAACAATAATAAACACATGGTTAACGTGGTTAGGTTTATGAGAAGATGAAAAATGATTAGCAACTTATACACACAAGTTAAATTACGTTGTACATGATGTAAGTTAAATATATTATGTAAGTTATACCCGGCTGGTATAAATGGAGCAACAAGCCATCAGAGCAATGGTTGTTTGTTTTCGGAAGAACAGGCTTTCGGGCAAATGGGACACTGTTTGGACAACTGGGGTTTAGAGTAATGGGCCATCTGAACAAAGGCATGGCACCAAACTGGAATCATGAAGGTTGAGAGCTGACATGTAAATTTGGTCCCAAGGTCCCAGGGTAAAAATGGTCAATGAATAGTGATATAAAACAGCTTTAGATGTCTTAAACTTTAAACATTAATGGTTAACAACACTATATCTGAGTTTATTATGTGTATCCAGGAAGTTCTTGTCCATCTTGTGGAGAAACAAGTCCAATAGTGTCTGAATGTGTTGTTCGTGTTCACAAGTATTGATGGGGCTGTTGTAACATTTACGAACTCTGAAGTCGAACATGATTCCTGTTTCATAAGCCAAGACGTCTTGAAGTAACTAGAGAAGACAGCTATGTCCTATTGTGTGTAAGCCTGCAGCTCTGAGGTTGTGCCAGAATTTTTTTAGCAAGCGATGGATGGTCCCACTGTCTACACAAAGCCAGCTCTGATTACAGCCTTCTCGCCGACATCGCGACCGATGTCAGTCACAGTCTCAATTTAGACCTCTCTGGGTTTCTTTAAAGAGCCCTTAGGCCCCAGCACAGTGTTTTTTATCATGATAACAGTACAATGAGGCCCAAATAACAATCAGATGCTCACCAGATTGCAAGAAAGCCTCCGGTGCTGCGGAGGATGGGGGAGCGTAATTTTTATGGAAATGGAGAAAAACAGTGTTTTCAGTCCATAAACAAAACATCCCAGCTCCTCGTGCCTTGTGTTTGGTCGTGTGATTCATCGTACAAGTTTGTTAACTACTTGATCACACAGGTTAGAAACAAATTTCCCTTTTTTCCAGCACCATCACAGGTCAATGGAAGTAAATAAAGAGATATTGTTACAGCACATGTTTAACTCCTAGTTTGAGAGGGTGAATTATTCATTATGTGTCCACCACAATTATGTAAAGTGGGTTCAAGTTCAGCTTTCTGTCTTCCCACATCAATCTCTAGAAACATATTACAGTAAAAGTTTTATGAATGTGAGCGAGAGTGAACGTGTCAAGGTTTCTTTTAAGCAAATAGTGATTCATTGCTGTGAACCTACCATGTATTAAAAAGTCAAATTCACTATGCTGCTCACCTACTACATTATGTTTGTAGCCACACACCATTAGGGCTAAATATGGCTTGGTACTTAAAGTTGGTATTAAATGTCTGGTCAGATTTCCATTTCCATGATCTTGTTTACTTCTGTTTTAAAGATTTAAATAAAAATGTTAGTGTTCTTGTATAGTTCTTGTACAATTTTTAGACAGCATTTGACTTTGAGCTTTGATTAAATAAAAAAGTTTTTGTAAGTAAGGTATCAAAAAATAATATTGTTTTGGTATTTATACTGAAACACAGAAAATATACTGGCACTAAAACATTTCAAACAGTCCCTAATGTGAAGAAAAACGTCACCTGGTCACATTTATATTTTAAAAAATGTACAGAAAACAAACATGGCCAGTTTTCCATCCAGATTTGTTCCAGAAAATCTGAAAAAGAAAATGCAAGTTAATGCACCTTTCCATCCAAAACTGTGATATGAATATTAAGAGTTGCTTTGGACAATAACAACAGCTGCTGGTGTTAAATCTCCAGTCGGGTGCCATTAAACCGTTGCAGAAGAAGAGGTAATTAACAACTGAGGTAATTAAAAGAGCACCAGTGAAACCTCAGACGATGAAAAACATGATGCAAATATGACAATATGTTTGTTTCATGTATTAATTTGAGGAATGTTAGTCTTTTTTTCCCATAAAATTTCCAGTGTTTCCACTGAGGTTTTGAAAATTCACATTAAAATAGGCGGCTGGAAACACACCTACTGATAAGTTGTTTGCCTCATAAAATACAATATGAGATGATTCATAAACTCCATGTGAGACTCGTTACAAGATCTGAAGCAGAGTGTAACACAAGTTGTAAAAAGTTAAAAAATGGGCAAAGCCACATATTGTATATTTATGTCTTCCAGATCGGAAGATACTGCAAAACATGTCATGAAATACAGGCGTATTCTGAAAATTTGTTGTTGTACTCCA